TTTGTCAAAATATTGATCTGGCGCAATATGAGCTATAGTCTAAACTCCTAAAAGGGGGTTATATAGGGGATTATATAGGGGACTACTATAGGGGTTATTAAGGGAGATACTAGGAGTTTAGACAGTAGCTCATATCAAAATCAACGCCCCGAGCCTGAAACGCATTAGCTTGGTTTGGCCTAAGTGTAGAATCTTTGCATACTGGGAAGTTGGACAGAGCATGCTCGGAACCTTCTCAAAGAAGAGCCTAGAAGTCTGATCCTAAGCCCTAAGCCACACGACACGACCCAAAAGCCAAATAATCCTCAGGCTGTAGAGTTAAGAAACGTAAGTAAAGTTACCATTGCAGAGAGCCTCAAACAGAACTCGATATGTACCATAGTCTAAGCCGCTAGTATCCCCCTTAATAACCCCTATGGGAGTTCCCTATATAATCCCCTATATAGTCCCCCTTTATGTAGTTTAGACTATAGCTCGTATGAGATTGGGGACTTAAAGCAGGGCGTCCTCAGGTTTAGGGTTTGGAGTAGACCTCAAGCTATAAGCAGTTAACGTAGTCTCAGGTGGTTGTTTGGGGTGTGGGGATTAAGGGCGGTTTGTCTTGTGGGTTTCGGGTTTAAGAGGGTTATGCTGGGTGTTTGTCAACTTGGAATTCTGCGATGTAGTTCCTCTCCAGCAATGGGGTTCCGTAGTACACAAAAAAGAGTGGCTCTCTACAATGATTCTTGACCAAGTGTAGGTAGGCCGGTCATGACACAGTTGTTATCCATCCGCCAGAGCAATTCTAGCGGAGAACACCTGGTTGCAATTGGAGCGTCTTCCCAACCTACGCTAAAGCCCGGAACCTTAAAGATCAGGTGAGCTGTAGCCTAAACTCCTTCAAGGCGGGTGATGTATGGGATTTTCTACGGGACCTTTATAGGGCTTATCAAGGGGGATACTAGGAGTTTAGACTATAGCTCAGGTGGCTCCAGGCACCACGGCTGCCATCATCTTGGAAAATGAAGCTTTCAAGGTACCCGCCGGCTACCGCGCGCGTTTGGTAGCCGAGACTGCAGAGGTCCTGGAGCCCGACAGCAGAGTTTGGGAATCTCAGGTGGGAGTTTGCACAACAAGTGTACTATAGTGTAAACTCTTTAAAGGGGGTTATAGTCATATAGGGGACTATGTAGCGGAGTGTTATAGGGCTTATTAAGAGGGATGCTAAGAGTTTAGACTATGGCTCAGGTAAGGTTACTAGCGTTAGCTTCAAAATTGGTAATGGTACTAGCAATAGCAATGGTGACAGTACCAGTAATACTAGTATAGGAAGATCAGTGGCAATTGTAGTTTCGATCTGCACGGAGGGATCCATTGGGTAGGAGTTTGGCGGGCTTGTATGCTCTATAGGCAGTTTTCTGTTAGGGGTACTGTTCTGGCGTCATATGTTTTCTCATTTGAAGCTCAGGTCTTGACCCTTGTCCGAGCGAAAAACATCATCCAAGCCTCAAACGGGACACTGTGCCCCAGAGGGGAGTTAGTCTTCCTTGAAATTCCGCCGGGCACCACCCGCGTCGAGCCGAATGCCTTCAAATTCTGCAGCAGTATAAAAGAAGTGGACATTCCTGACTCAGTTGACAGCATTCAGCGTTTCTAGGGCGCAGCTGGGAACCGTTTGATTTTAAAGAGATTTGAAGACTCCAAGCATCCACCTGCCTTCTTGATGGCCTTTTCGGGCCCCAAGTTTTCTATTCGAGCATCATCTTCCGAAAGGTCCTGCATATCGCAAATGGCATGCGATACGTGCAAGAACAAGGGCTTTAAAAACAACGTAAAAACAACGGGCCCGCAACCCCTAAACCCTGAACGCCAAACCTTGAGCCTTGAGCCCTACCTTAAATCCCAAACCCTACCAATCCTAGAACCCTTAGTTTCGGATTATGGCCCAAACAGCGGGTACTTAGGCCCTGATAGAAACCCCAAAGCCCGAAGCCCTAAAACCCTAAATCCCTAAGCCCTAAACCGTATAAACCCTAAGCCCTAAGCCCTAAGCGGCCCCAGGTCATGCCTTTGCAACTTGTGGCAGCCTTGAGGCCATCACAATCCCTGCCTCCGTGACATCCATCGGGGAGGCGGCATTCTGCACCTGGGTAATGGAAAAGAAAATGGAAACTACAAGGATTATAGGAGTTGTATAGGGATTATAGGGTAGATATTGGGATTATATAGGGGTAATGGAAAACAAAATGGAAACTACTATGGGGCTATATAGAGGTTATATAGTCTTTAGGGCTCAGGTTTAGGGCTTAGGGTTTAAGGTTTGGGGTTCAGGGTTTTGTGGTTGAGGGTTTAGGGCTTAGGGTTTAGGGTTTGAAGTTATATAGGGGCATGTAGGGTTTAGGGGTAGAATGGAGAATAGATGAAAACGACACGGAAATTGATTCTATGTAGAGGTTGTAGAGATGATTACCATCATTCTGGTCCCAGATTTCTTGTGTAATTCTGGTAGCGGGTACCTCAAATAGATTTCCGCATGATGTTAGCTTTTTGGCTTGTATATTAGACCCTTCGATAGATAGGCGACTTTGCAAAGGACTCTCGTCTTTGTAGGGCCCATGTTGTGTAGGCTTCCATGTTAGGTTTGGGGAAGGTGCTGAATTCCTTTGAATTCTGAGCGCCTTTCCTAGGCCCGCAAATGCCACATGTTTTCTGCGAAATCGAGGAAGTTGAGCTCTTTGGATACCCGCAGGGATATGTTCCTCTGCTTGCCTGAAGGGATCTACAAATCTAATGTCAGAGTGTTCTACAGGAGCTACGCTGCAAGATACCAACAAGGTTACAACTCCCCCTTCGCTGGCCCCCCTGGCATTTCGGTACACACGGCAACTCAGTACGTAGAACACACGCCCCACATGAACCAGGTAACTGTGCTGCTTTGAAACGTGTGGAGATCCCTGGTTCGGTAACGAAGCTTGAGATGGCAACCTTCGACGGATGCTGTGCCCTGGAGGCTTGGCTCATGGTTGGTATAGAGGAGCTTTGCTTGTAACCTTTCAACCCCACTTTAGTAGCAATCACCGCGTAATAAGTATTGGTATAACTCATAAAACTGTAGGAAACTTGGGGTTGCAGGTGGGTATGTCCAAAATGAGAAGGGGCCGGGTTTTGGGGGATGTTGGGGTACCAAACGCCTTAATGCCTAAGGCATGAAATTTCTGGATACTCAATATGTGGAAGATATAGGGCAGTGAACGGACTATGCAAGGATATGCGCTGTCTGTAGTCGGGGTTGAGGGGCTTCTGCAAGTTGTCTCAATGTGCGGGGGTTGGGAGGGTTAGGCCGACTTCAATGGGCCTTGTACAAACACTTTACGCCTTTGTATATACATATATATATATATATGCATGTAGATATATACATATCTACCTCTATGTATATATATATATACATATATATACATGTATGATATGATACGATATGATCTACTTTTGAGAAGCTTGTGAGACCAACCCAGGAGAGCATTAAGATCCCCACGTCTGTAATCAGCATCGGGAACTACGTCTTTAGGAACTGCAGGGCGCTGAAGACCGTGGAGATCCCCGAGTCGGTGGCCAGCATAGGAGAAGGAGCCTTTGACCAGTGCATTGCTCTGGAGAACATCAAAATTCCTGACTCCGTGGACAGCATTGGGTGGTATGCCTTTAGATGCTGTGGTGCGCTGAAGAGCATCCAGGTCCCAAGCTCTGAAATCAGCTTTGGGAGATACGTTTTCGAGCGCTGTGGTGCTTTGAAAAATGTACAGATTTCAGGCTCCGAGGCCAGCATTGGGCTAAAGGCCTTCTTGTCTGGCCAGCACAGGGTAACTCGCAGGGAGTCGGTGCCCTCCTACCTGAACCCTGTTCGATGACAAGCCCTGAGCAGACTGAACCTGCACCACGCGTTGCTGCACGTTACATGGTACTGTAGAAGCCTGAATAAGTACCCATGTAATGGTCCTAGATCATCGTATTCAGGTGTAGAGTGCCTCAAATAGGTCTTAAGGTGATATTTGCAGTTGTTGATTTACGGCCCTACATTACAGAAGCCAGAGAATCCCCCACATAAACCCAGCTTCCATTACATTTTCCATTGTCTCCTTCATTTGATCCTCCATTATCTTTGTGATTACCCCAGAGTTCAGGATTGCATTTAGGGTTTAAGGTTTGGGTTTTTTCCACGTCGCAGGAAGAGGGGTAACATAGTTGCCCAACCTGGACTCCCACAGGAAGTAAAACATGGTCACAACATCTCTAGAAACAGTCCAAAAGACCCTTACTTTACACATTTTGGGGGTCTAAGTATAAGGGAGCATCAAGTGGAATTAAAGCGGGCAACTAAATGGAAAATGACTGGGGGCCTACCCAACCTAACCGGACCTAACCCCAAACGGTAATTCTGTATGGAAAAGAAGATGGCCCCAAATTATCTGGATCTGCTAAACCCTAAACCCTGAACCCTTAGCCGCAAACCCTGAACCCCAAACCCTGAACCAGGGTTTCTAGCGAAATGGCCAGCGAGTGCACAGGGCACCAGGTCTTGCAACGCAGGCCCAACTTCGTCCAACTTGGCAGGGTAATTGGACCCCCCAAAGTAAGAAAGAAAAGCCTGTCAGGGTGTACAGGGGTTATGTAGGGATCTATGAGGTTCAGGGTTTACCTTCAGCCCAAAGTATGTAGCATGGCCTTGTTGATCTTGTTTACTATTTAAGATCTCGTGGACCATCATACTACATACTTTTGAGGTCCAGGCAGTTGGTTTACAGCGTTGGCTCCAAAACTTTGAGAATGCCTAAACCCGAAGCCTTAAACCCCATGCAGCTCCAGTTCTATCAGCTTTGCTGAGGCTCGAACATATGCGACACGTTCTGCGAAACAAGTGAGGAGTACCAGGGAGGGGGTGGGGGTTAGGGTTCAGGGTTTAGGGTTTTGGGGGGGGCAAGTAGGAATGCGCAGGTTATAAGAAGTCTATGACCTAGCTTATATAGTCTCCCGCAGCAGCTTGGTCTAGATACGTTCATTTTGTTTGCGGAAAACCTCAGCTGTTAGGGTTTCAGGTTGGGGTTTCTACTACCCGGCTTCTGTCATCTTCAAGGATACTACATCAGGGCATCCTGATCTGGCAAGCAGCCACATGTCTGCCTTTTTGGAATCCCGGCAGACCGTACGCAACTGCGACAACTGCGTTTTAACAAAGCAGGCTATCCTATCTAGAAGGTCCTTAAACGGAGAATCAGCCCACAACACTTCTCTCAGGATGGCTTGTGTTTGGGCTTCTGCTAGTTGGAACTTTTGCTGTTGACCTTTGAGTTAGATAGTTCCTGCTTTTGATTAACCCTAAACCCCTAAACCCTGAACCCTAAACCCTACACCCTAGATTCTTCCTGCAGTAGATTAGATGAGCACCTTAGGGCCTCGGCAGCAAGCCAGTAGAGGATGATTCAAAAGAGCAGGGTTTAACTGGGCCACCAAGGATGGTTTAGGGGTAACTTGAAAGTGGGGTATGGGGGTTGAATAGGGTTTGAGGTTTAGGGTTTAGGAATGGAAGGGTTCAGATTTTGGAGTCCACAGTTTTGCGGGGTGCTTGCTCAACGAGCCCTGAATTTTCTTGGGACATATACATTAGTGTTAGTGTTTTTGCGCACAGAACCTTGCGCTGACCTTAGAGCCTAATCTCTGATATTGGATTTGCTCGTTTTGGGTCCCCGGGATTCCAGTGTGGAAGCTTTAAACCCTAACCCTATTATAGGGACCCCCTCCCCCACACAACCCTGAACCCCGAAACCCTGGGCCCGGCACCATCGCAGCTAGGTCCTCTCGGCAAGAATCTATCGGCTATCTGCGCTACAGTCTAAACTCCTTGAAGGGGTTTTATATGGGAGTGTTATAGGGGTTATTCAGGGGTATACTAGGAGTTTAGATTACAGGTCATCTGGTGATTCTCAACACAGTCTGCGTACAATCCCACATAAAGATCCCCCAAACCCGCATTTGATCCCTACATGTCCTTACAGTCCCCAGAGGCCCCGAAACAGTAAACCCATACCCAAGGTTCAACAGGCCAAAGTCTTATATGAGGGGCCCATATTTCCCTGTTAGATTTTGGGGTTGGTAACAAGAAGAGGGAGATGTGCAAACTCAGCAGCGCGTTGTCGACTAGCTCACTAATGAGCTGCGATATCCACAGCAAGTATGGTCTGGCGAATCATCGTCAAAGCACTTCTACAAAGAAAAAGCCTAAATCCTAAACGAGTCTGTAGTCTGCAGAAGGCGTAGGCCTCACCAGTAATCAAACTGCGCACCTTCCCTAATTCCAAAGCTCTAACATTAAACCCTACCCCTACACCCCAGCTCTGAACCCTGAACCCCAAGCATCAAGTGATGCGCAGGAGCCGATGTGCGAGCCAGAGTGTCTCGACCGCGTGCTGGGCTGGAACCTGAGGGGGTTTTCGGGCTTGAGTTTGAGGGTTTGTTGTTTCTGGGCTCCGAGTTTTGAGGTTTGATGTGAAAATAATTTGGAGTTTAGGATTGAAAGCCGCTTGTAAAGGGTTAGCAAAGTTTAGGGATCTGCCTGGCGAGGTTAAGGGTTAAGGGTTGAGGATTTAGAGGTTGAAGGTTGAGGGCTCATGGTGCAGGGTTGAGGGTAGTTAGGTTTAATGCACGCCGAGACCCTTCAAAGTAGTCACTTCTTTGGAATTAGGCTTTAGGGTTCTTGTTGTAGGGTTTAGGGTTTTGGGCTGGGATGTTTGGCAGGGCCACCCAGAACGTGAAATCATTGGAGGGTCTGAGCACGATTCAGGGTTCAGGGTTTCGGGGGTGCTGAACCAACATGAGGGACAGCCCTGTTGTTTAAACTTGTTGGTGTATGGGTTTCCGTACATACCAAACACCTAAGCCCTAAACCCAAACACTACCCCTTTCTCAAAAAGTCTCTTTCTTCTTAGGGGCTGCCATTTAGGCTTTACATTTGCCAGGCGCCGGATGCATCAGTCTAATTGGCTAAAGTTTTTTGGGGGTTTAGGGTTTAGGGTTTAGGGCGTGGGGCATAGGATTTCGGGTCTAGGGCTTAGGGTTTAGGGTTCAGGGTTTAGGACTTCGAAAAAGGAAGTAGTGCCCGTTCACAATGCTCGAGACAGTTGCTTTACACCTTGGGAATTTTGGTGTGCTTGTTTCGTAAGGTCATGCAGGGGCGATTTTGCGTATGAAGTGGCGCGCTTTCTTCGCACTTTCTTTGCGCAGTCTAACCACGCTGCTGCCTATACCCTAAACCCTAAATAGTAGCTTCCATTTTCTTATCCATCATGCCAATATAACCCCAACATAACCCCAATATAACCCCATTATTAATATAGTCGATCTACTCAAGGGGGACGAACTTCAGGGTCATATGAGCCTCGAAGCCGATTACATACAGACCTGAGTTTAAAGGCCAGGAATCACCATGTGCCCCTTTCAACAGAAGGATCAGAAGTTCTGGTTTGGAATTTGACATTGGGGCTTGAAGTTTAAGGCAATGAGGTTTAGGTTTACGGTTGAGAGCTGAAGATTCAGGTCTTAGGTTTGTTAGTTTTATGGCAAGGAGCTGTACAGTTTACGGGTTTAGCCCAAACTGCTTGACACCCTCAACTGTGGAGTTCTTTGGCTGCAACTCTGACTGAGAGAATACAGACACTATTTGAGGATTTGCTTTACTTGATGCGGGTCTTCCTTTTTTGATTTTCCGTGCGACTGCCTTCCTGGAACAGCCCAAGAAGGTACTGGACGTGCGTACATGCCATGTTGCATGCTGGAACGCTGCAATTTCTGTTTACACCATCTTGGTATAACCTCTACATCACGCTTTGTGGGCCCCTTCAAAGTTTGCAGCCCTTACACGGGACTTTCTCAAAGCCCTAAAGTTCCCTAAAGCCTTAGCCCTCAGTTATGGAATCCTTATGGGGGCCCCTCATATGGAGGACCCATAATTAAGCCGCCCTAAGACCTCCCTAATCCTCCCAAAAGGTCTCCTATTAGGGGCCCCCCTTACATGGGGCCCTAAGTCAGCTTGGAAACTGCACTGAGCGGGGTACTATTGGGGAGCCTAGAGCTGTAAGGGGATGGTGAGAGGTCAAAGTTTCCTCAATGAGCAACTCCAACAAAGCCATAAACTACACCCGTCTATAGGAGTACATACCGATCTATATGGGGTTTGGAGTTTAGGGTTACTTGGGTCAATCCCCCACCCAGTAATGGTTTGTACAAGGGACTCTTGTAGGTATATTGTGGCATTATTATCTTCATATTCAGCCCCAAAAGCATGCGCAAACTGTCTGGTACCGACCTTAAGCGCTGAATCCTAATCCCATTTTCTTTGCGCTAGACAGGCTCCCATGCATCCAACACCCTTTAGCCCCCGACCTAGATCCCAAACCCCCGAACCCCTAACTCGAAAGACTTGGACCGAGTCAGGCTTCATGGTCTTCCCCAAGACCTTGCTGCTGCAAGTCATGGAAGAGTCCGCGGCAGGCCACTTTTGGATCGCCTTTGCAGGGTGATTCTCTCTAGGCATGGAAGTTACCCAAAATGCTCCCGCTATGGCATCACTACACACTCTTTGATTCTGTAGAGCCTCCTGCAGATGGTTCCGTGGCCTGCGAGAATCTGTTGACAGAAACATGGAACAGGAAGTGACTACCCTGCAGACAACGACCACTTTGGCCATCGAGAAAGGTCAGAGCGAGCTGAAGGCATTGCAGGCCCAGCACGAGCTTGAGATCAGGAAGTTGAAGGAGGCTGCAGCTCGTGAGAAGCTTGAAATGGCGGCCCAGCATCAGCTTGAGATGACGAAGACCTAGGAGGCTGCAAAACAGGAAGTGCTTCAGTTGGATGAACTCCCACATAGGTGGGATATAAGTGGCCTTTGAAGAAGAACAGCCATGGTCATACGTCATGCAAGCTATAGTTATAGGGACTTTTGCGTCTCTTTTATGGGAGGTTCTCAAAAATGCTCCCATCATTTATACGAACAAAGCCCCCTTATCATTTGCTTACAATCCCCACATATTCACTGCTCCCTAGGGCCCCCACTTTTGGGTTTAGGGTTTAGGGGAAACTTCCATGTAGCCAGGATGCACCATCCAGTAGGATCGCTTGGGGTGCCCAATGGGCTTTGAACCCTTGAGGTAGCTCGAACTAGGGTAGGAAACATTCAAGCGATAAAAAGGTTATCACCTATATCCCCCTATAGTTACTATGATAGATGGTACTAGCCCTCACTAGCCTTTGGTAATATACCCACCTAGAGCTGGAAAGAGAGAAAGATTGGTGACCAAACATGCAGGCCTAGCCAGGAATAATCTAGTAAAATCCGACGCGCTCGCTGATGCGTTCCCTCGAGCGAGTGCCTTTTCTTAGTTGAATGTTATGTGTGTGTGTGTGTCCTTGGGAACATGGGTGAGCGTTACATAAGGTATTCCTTTGCAGGACCATGTTGGTTGGGGTTGAAACGGGAGGACCGGCTTTTTGCGTTGATGCCTTCCTACACCCTAAGCCATGATGTACATGGGCTCTAAGTAGAGTAAAGATTTTTGTTTCGTCCTAGTAGTGGTTCATTGTCGAGGGCTGGGTTTCTACTATTGAACCCTAACCTCAGATCAAACCGCTACACCATCATGGCGGCCTGCTTTCTCTATGCGTGCGACCTCCTGGTATTTCAGAAGCTAGACAAGTAGAAACATGCTCAACCTACATCTCAACCAACTTTCATATGGGATATAGCCTAAATTCCTAGCATCCCCCTGGTTCACCCCTATAGAAGTTCCCTACGCCCCTTTAAGGCACAAATTTGCGACATTATTCGGGATGTTTCCTATGCAGTAATTCGTTGCGTTACTAGTTGATTCGCTACAAACCCTAAGGGCCCAACTACCCAAATCATATTTAGGGTTTAGGGCTGAAGGATTTTTACGGTTTAGGGCTTTGGGTTGTGTACCTAAAGCCTTTGGGTACTTGAATTCTTATGGAAAAGGCTAGCAGACTAGGCTAGGGTCTTGGCACCCGGCAGCAAGCTCAAACTGAACGATTGTCTTTCTAAAGTCAGCTGAGAACCTAGCGCCCTGGGAGTTATGTTTGGGTTTAGGGTTAAGGGTTTTAGGGGGAGTCCGTAAATTGGGCGTGTAAAATTTTGGGGTTTGTATTGGCGGCTGCCTATTTTCAGAAATCCAATATCCTACACCCTTAACCTTCGAACTCAAGACCTGAAGTCCAAGGCTTTAGGGTTAAGGGCGGAATTGAGCCTCAACCTTCCCCGCACTCCAAACCCGAAAGCGCGTCTACGCCTTTAATCCTGACCCTGAGCTCTATACAGCCCAGACACAGCAATTGGCCACTGCCACAAGGCAAATCCAGCCATGAAGCTACGACAAACCACGAGACGATCATTTGATGAAATCCCGCGACAAAGGGGCATATTGGGATTTCTAGGAGTTGAGAAATTTCGGAATCAGAATGATTTAACGATATTGGAAATCTATATATATATATATATGGGTTTGTGGTCCGGTGGGGTCGGGTTTAGAATTTAGGGATCTTTAGGGGTTAGGATTTAACCCTAAACCCTCCGCCCGACCACTCTAAATTCTAAAATCTTCGAGATTATTGATATAGGAGGTGTATCAAATATTTCGACGATTTTTGGTCGCACGGTCTTTGCCGCTTCTGGAGTGATTTTCCATATGATTTATCTCTCTTTGAATATCTATATAGATATTCCGGAGATTATATATTTGGGACCAGGAACCAAAAATCTTTTCAGAATTTATGCAAAGATTATATCTATTTATGGAGATATATACGTTGCCTCTCGTTCGTACGAGATAGCAAAAGAAAGATAATTGAGCCGGAAAGGTCGGGTTAGATGCGGGAGGCCGCACGATCCGAAATCTCTTGAGATTTCGATCAATTTCTCTCTCTTCGATTATTTGCGCGGCGGTTCGGGGGAGATCTTGGGCGGAGATCTAGAATCTTTCAGAATCTATTACGTCGAAATACGATTTTATATATTCCGTATAATTTTCGTCTCTTTGATTATTAGTGCGGCTATTTGGAGGAGCGCGTAGACCCGAGATGGAGAATCAAAGATAGATGAGGCGGAAAGATCGGATTGGATGCGGAGGTCGTGCGATTAAACGATCATGCGACCAAAATTCCCTCAAGATTTCGGGTTATTTCTCTCTCTTTTTCTGTCTGCGCGGCGGTTCGGCGGAATGGGAAGGTCCGAGACGGGTCGAAAATCTTCAGAATCTATATATTATATGCGAGTTTAAAATCTTGCTAATTCATCGTTTTTTTGGTTAGCAGATATTTCGTTATAGATTTTATCAAATAAATATTTTCTGGACTGTAGGCAGCGGATCAATGCCAAAATAGAATAGATTTTCATTTTATAGTAATAATGATAATGAAGATTTTCTTATTCAATGAAATTCTATGCAAATTTGAAATAATTTCTGATTGATATATTCGAATTTAATATTCGAAGATTCTTGAAAAAGAAAATGAATTTCTATATATAATGAAATATTCTTTTCAAATTCAAAATATCTCAATATTACGGCGCGAGTTGTTATGGGCATTGCATTCGCGCACGACATAGATTTTGAAATTCGCTTTAAAATTGCTTCTTGCTGGCCTCCCAGGAGCTTTAGAATCTCGGAGATTTTAGAATCTTTCCGAAAAACTAGAGATTCGAATATCTAGGACGGAGATCTAAAATCAATCAGAATCTATATATCATGCGCGGTCTTGAAATATTAATAATTCATCGGATTTCACGTATGAT